CACACACACACACACACACACACACACACACACACACACACACACACACACACACACACACGCTCACACTGTATAATCGACGCAGTCCTCTCTATGAAACCCCCATCAACAAACACAGACGATACCAACAGGGCGTGTTTCTGTCAGTCGTCAGCAAAATGGGCGTCGTCAGTGACGGATTAACTGATCTTCCGTAAGTATTGATGGAATGCCCACCTCTTGTACTGACATCATAATTGCATGATTTTTAAATGGCATTGGACGAGACCCTGTTCATGACTTCATTGGTCATGCAAATGAAACTCTCAAGTGAACATTCATTCTTGCATGTCTTCGTCTTGCAGAGTTTGGCGTGTTTGTGGACACGTATGGACGAAAGAGCCGCACTGAGGACATTAAGTGGAGTCGACTGCCTTTGTCCTTTGGTGAATACGCTTTATGAAGCCACATCATTTTTATTGTTATCATGCATGAAGTCAATCCAATCCCTTGGACTGCTTGTGTTTTGTGATGCAGCCTACAGAGAGCCCTACCTATTTGTCACCTACTTCAACTCTCTGGATGTCATCGAGGTTCAGGGTCACGCTGCTTTGGGGTGAGTATCACTGGCCACCGTATCACATTTATGAAATGACCCGAAAGTTCATGTTGGACCCTCATGTCCCGACCTTTTGTGTTATCAGTCCTTCAGTGCTGGCCCACCTGGACATCCCCAGCCCTCGCTATCTGGGCCCAGCCATCTCCTCTGGAGCCATTTATTTGGCTTCGTCCTACCAGAACAAGCTGCGGGTCATCTGCTGTAAGGGGAGCCTTATCCGAGAGTCGGGAGAGCTGCAGAGGACCGGCTCCAGCAGAGGGTCAGCTCCTCCTCAATTGTCGAGAAACATTTTACATCACATGTGTGAGCGTGTGACACAGTTTCGCCAAAACATCCTCAGAATCAAGAATCGCCCGTTTTACAAACTTATTTTGTCTTGCTGAAGTTCGACCGATTTAGCAGGACGGCCTGTCTTGTGCAACTAAGCCAGCCCTCCTACCACCCCACGCCCGCCAACGTACTCATGTGCCAATGGCGCTATGGGTTTTGTTTCCATGACGACGAGTAACTGATTGCTGCACTTGAAGCTTTGAATTTAAAAAAGCGACCAAGCAATCGAGCATTTGGCGCTTATCGGAAGCGAATGCCATGAATCAGGATTACTCAGTTCTCAAACTCAATGCAGCTTTTCTTACCATTTCAACCGCAAAAAAAAACCCCACCACTGACTAATTTAACCACAGTTGGACTCTGGCCATTGCTTGAAAGTGGCTTTGGATCTTGTAGTGTTATATATGTACATTTGCCTCACTGGTAACTTGGCTGGCAACCAGTTCAGGGTGTCCCCCGCCAACTGCCCGAAGACGGCTGGGATAGGCTCCAAGCACCCCCCGCGACCCTTGTGAGGATAAAGCGGATCAGAAAATGGATGGATGGGATGCCACAGTGGTGTGGGACCGCAGAGCGGCAAGCTCACATACACTTTTTCAGATCTAGGCTGTTAAAAGTCTGATTTGATTCTTTAATTCCACATTCAAATACAAGCAATTCAAAAGTCATTTTCTGTCAGATGTCCCCTTTTAAGTGTAAGCCATCAAATCATGTTGGGAGAAGCTAAAGCCGAAAGTGGCCTCACCGATTCCAAAGTGCATGTTTGGTTTTGACAGAGCAATGGTGCCATCTGTTGCTCATTAACACGAATTGCAAGTGTTATCTTGCAAAATTCAATTGCTTTGTCATCGGCTCCGACTTGGAGGAGGGAGACCCCATGAGGGACCTGGTCATTTTGAGACAAGTCACACCAAAGTAACTTTCAGTTTCTTTAAAAAAAAAAGTTTAAAACAAAAATATGCAATTTAATGTTATGTGGAAAGTGCATTTCAGTAGTGCACATTATTAAGCACCTGACGGCTAAAGCAACAAATTAGACATTCCACTGATATCGGGCTGTCCAAATGTCAGGCGAAACGTCTTCTAACACAGCCACAACAATCCACTTTTGATCGATTCCATGTCCTGATAATGGAATGGCCTGCATGACTGAGAGTATACGCAGGCACTGGTCTGCATTGCACAAAGTGGATCCAAAAAAAAAAAAATAATAACTCTGAGAACTCAGAAGGCCCACACTTCATCCAAGCCTTTTTCTCCTCCATGTAGAGTCAGTATCCTAAACCCCAAATCACTGTTGTACACAACCCGATGACCCTTGGCCTTTGCCGCACGTCTCCAGGAGTCCCAGCAAGCGAGGCCCTCCCACCTACTCGGAGCACATCACCAAGCGCTTGACGTCAGGCCCCGGCAGTCACGACGGCCTGCATCGAGAGCCGAGCACCCCTCACCGCTATCGAGAGGGACGCACTGAGTTCCGGCGCGACAAGTCTCCGGCCCGCCCCTTGGACAGGGAGAAGTCACCCGGCAGGGTGCTGGACAGCCGCAGGGAGAGATCTCCCGGACGATTCGGGGACAACAACCGACTCATTGCTGGGTCGGTGCGCACGCAGCTGGCTCCTGTTAACAAGGTACTGTTGCCTTTGTCACTTCTATTATTGTCTGATCAACATGCAGGTTCTTATTGCAGGATAAGGGTCATCTGACAAATATTCCATAATCAAAACACTAATACAAAAAAAGAAACTAAAATGAAACATTTTCAAAACTGCCCAAAAAACAAATGAAAAGTAACAGAATAGTCATGATGGGGTCGTGGTACACTCGCCTGACCCGCATATAAAATGTGGGTGTGAATGGTTCATCTCAATATGTGCCTCGCGACTGACCGCTGACCAGTTCAGGGTCTAGTCCGCCTTCCGTCCGAAGTCCACTGACATAGGCTCCACTCCAACATCAATGACGCCCCTGTTCAGGATAAGGGTGTTGAAAATGGATTGATGAACTGTCACACCAACAGTCAAAATGAAATGAAAAATTATGGAACATCCATAATTACTATATGCCTGATTAAAACACAAAGACAGTAAAGCATAAGTAGCCTCTCATATAAAAACATTCCGAGACATCGGACTTACATCCGTTTTTAGCCATGTTTTGGATCAATCACTATCCGAGTCATTCCTAAACTAAAAAATGTCAGTGGCCTAATTTGAAATCTGACAACTTGTCTGTGAAAACAGAAAGTCTTGCAAAAAGATTTGATACATTTAACACCCCGCACTCCACGGTTCTCCCTTTTGGGCATTTGGGCATTAGAGGTAAAATAAATTTGACTTACCGAAGTTAATGCGCATTCATTTATTTTTAGACAATGTCAACCATTATCCCTAATTTTGATGAGTAGTGTACCATCACGGAAACCCAAGCCCAGTCATGTCCAGCACACTGCCCCTCCCTTTTTTCCTTTGCATGTCATTTATCTTTGCAGGTATGGGATCAGTCGTCCGTGTGAAAGGGCGCCAGCGCTCCTTTTGGACAGGCCAGTGACTCACACTTGACTGACAGGCGGCCATATTGCCTGTAACACAGTCACACATCATCTTTTGACAATACAAACCCGAGATGTGCTTTTTGGAGGCGGGGAAGCGTATTCCACAGTTGAATCGGTGGCAGGGAAAACGCGTGGAGCATCTATTTTATAATGGATCGTTGGCGTAATTGTAAATAGTGTTCGGAGTTTTTATAAAAGGGAAAAGTTGGCCAGTACAGCCATGTCTATTTTTTTGGTAAAATGAGAATTTCTATAGATAGTTGCAGGGAGCCTCACGCCATCAATATCAGTTCCTTGCATTCATGGTCGTGAGGGAGAGGTCAAAGCAATTTGCACACGAATCAACTGGATTTGAACAGGATGTAAAAACTTTTTTTGGTTTGGTTTGTTTTCCACGGCAAACGTGAGGTTCTCTTTTGTGACTGTATCTCCTTTGCTATCCACTCGCTGCATATAGAAGTGCTTCATTGAAAACAATGTTGTCTTGTGTTGTTTCCAAAGCTCAGAGTGCTGCCTCAACTTGCTCTTGTTGGTCCACAGCATCCCGTCCGTGTGTGCTGCGACATGTCGTGGATGTCAATGGTGTTGTTTCTTTAGTGCCTGTGTGACCACCTCATCAGTAAGCATGACATGCACTATTTACAGCAGCTTGATTCTTTCTCCTGCTTGTTATTTTCTGTCAAAACCTGCGTTCAATAATTAGAGGATGTTAACGCTAACAAAGGATTTTCCTGATTTTTAGATATCTGCACAAGACATCATTAAAACATGATTGAAGCCCGCTTTCTCCCTGGCATCTTTTCAGAGCAGGTCTCACACACACACACAAAACACGGCTGGTTCGTCTAGTTTATTTCTCCTTAAATTCTACAACAATGAAACGCTCATGGGAGGGAAAAAAAAATCCGATGAACAAGGAGCACTTGCAATTACAGGAAATGGCTCTATGTACAGCTACAAACTCGCCTGACAAACAGCTTCAAAGTGCTTTTCCAACAGGAGGGAAACAGGTGAGGGGAAACCCCAACAGAAGCACAAGTGATCCCTTTGTGAGATCTGAAATAGAACAGCTTGGCACCCATCTCTACCAGGGGAAAAAAAGATGCGCAGGCACGCACACACCCACTAATGCTTGTTACATTCTCATGTGCACACACACAATTGCTCTCACACGTGATTGCTGGGCTGTTGCAGAGACCCCTGAAACGGAGCTTGTGAAAAATACAAGACGAAAAGTTGCTGAGCAAGTGACCGTCGCGGCAAACGTATCGGCCATCCTGTCAGGCTTGAGTACTGACAACAGCTTTGTTTTGGTCCCGGGTGTGGCACTGGTTTGCGGATGTCGGGCAAACCGGTGCCTCCTCACATCATTGTCATTGATGCTTCGTGAGACGTCTGCTGTGTGTGTGTCACATGAGATCTTACACCACTCGGTTATAATAATGAGCTGAGGCCAACAGCATGACTTAAATGACGGATGAGTACACCGGTCAACTCCCATTAAACCCGCACGGCTCTACCTTTAATGCAGTGGACAATCGTGAAGAGGAAGGGGACCGTCACAGCCATTAAGGGGCACGATTAACTCAGCAGCGGCTGCGTTGACCAAAAAAAAAAAAAAAAAAAGCAAGACTTGTTTTCAGTGATAGTCCTTCGTTTTGTTCATCTTTACTGTCTTGCGAACAGAATATGAGTGAAAGACTCAATATGATCATCTATCCAGCCATTTGCGTCATAATAACAAAGGTCATAATTGAGGAACAAGGCGCGCTTGACAAAGGGAGCCCTGAAAGCCAAAATCTCAAAGCAACTATAAACAAGTGTGCGTCATGAGTGTCTAGTAAGTAGAGGTAGTGTTTGTAAGTGAATGGAGAGTGTGTGAGTGAGTGAGTGAGTGAGAGTGTGTGTGTGTGTGTGTGTGTGGAGGGGCTTTGCGTTTGAATTGATGTTGCTCTTTTTGGACCTCTGTTCTGTGTGTGCATGCGTGCATAGACTTGTCACTGCACCACCACAAGCACATCGACACTGATTATCACGTGGCAGCTGAATTGTCAGAATCCAAAACACTCTTTAAACAAAATAAATAAAATCACCTCATTTAAAAAAAGAGAACCCCCCCCCCCAAAAAAAAATCAAATACTACAGCATCCAAACAGGACACCCTGCGCTTCTATCATACATATAAAGGGACATTTCTGTCACTGCCAAAAGAAAAAAGAAAAAAAAAACGTTTTTTGGTGACTAATTCAGTGAGAAACTATTCTGTTTCTAAACCTTTGTACTTAAATGCTATAGCTGTATCTGAATATATTATTGTATTCTATTTTTTTTTTTTTTTTACAAAATAATGACCATGTGCACGAGGAGGTCATTGAATGACTTGACAGGCAGCGAGGACCATTCTGTGAGCTCCGAGTCAAAAGTAGGAAAATCAAAATGCTGTCTTCAGCTTGTCCATTCAGAGGTGCGCGCCCGGTGCCTTAACGGAGTGGGACAGACCGCTGTGATCGCACAAGATCCTTCATCTTCATCCATAGGTGCTTATTTGACGGGGAGGAAATGACTTCAGTGGTACTTTTGTTAATTGAGTCCGCTGCCGATAACGAGGCCAGTTAAGGCCGAGTGGATGATCATCTTTCATTGAAGTTGTTTTCAAAGGCAGTCCAAATCATGAATGATCCACTCAACATGTCCTGCCCGCGAGTCTCGATTCCAAATCGACGACAGGACATTTTGACTTGATTTCCAGAGCTCTGACTGTGAACGGTGTGCCAATCAATTCATCATTTTGAAGATTCTAACACAATTCACACCACATTCTTCTCTTGAGCACCCAGCAGCAACCAAAAACAAGTCCAAGCGGGGCCCAGAAGACGGGAAGTGTGCAAAAGCGGCGTGGGTGGGGGTGTGGGTGGGGGTGGGGGGGGCCATGATTGAAGTGGATTGAAGCC